TGAATCGTAACCATTCAATTCAAAATTAAAACAACGATTTTTCATGACAGTTATACACGAGTCTGTATTCCCCATTCAAACGGGAACTTTGCTAAAGGGTCAAAATGGGGGGGCACACCCCATGCCCCCCCCCCAGTTCCGTTCCCTAAGATATTAGGCCTATGATATGTTTAAAAGTGCTATTATGTTTGTAGTATCCCAACCTGCCTGATGAGCTCTTTGTCGAGCAAAACGCGTCATTGGCCATGGATTTAGCAGACATAGTGTGGTTGAAATACAATTAGACACTCTTACTATTGAAAAAACCCTAAGGAACGGAATAAAGTATGATAATAATAGGCCTAATGTTAAGGTTCTATAACAATTATAATTAATTATAAATATACTGATGCTTCACTAGTATAGAAAACAACTAATAACATAATTAATGGTTATTAATTAATAACCATAACAACTAATGTTGACAATACTTTTGGCTGCGATTACAACTCGCAATGTTTGGCCACCTGAGGACTCTTTGTCCGTAATACAAGTTAGTAATATATTGTTTTGTATTAAACTTTAACTAGTTTCATTTAAAATCTTTTGAGTTGAACATCTTTAAACGATTATTATTTACAGTTAAGTTATTTAACTATATATTTCTATAAAGTTCTTACCTTTCAATGGATGATCTTTATTATACATCTCAGTTTTAACGTAAAAAAAGAAAACAGATTGGTAATGTCAATAATTAAAGGTTGCATACATTAGTACTCACACGTAACACTAAATTAAAAGTTAATTCATCCAACAGATACATCGTTCATTCACAAAAAACAATGTATACATTATAAGGCGACGTCTAGTAACAAAACTATTGATAGTAACACTGTCAGTCTTGAAGAAGGTCTATCGAATACCTTAAGTTAACACTAAACTAAAATATTTCGTGCTAGTACTAGTACACGGGTATCTTCCTCTTCACATACTGCAGACACTTGTTTTGAAAATTGTATTTAAATATACAGCACACACACGTACAATACAGGTGGTATGAATATTGTTACGACAGCGGGGGTCAAGTGACGCTAGTAGCACGTCATATTCTCGAAGGTTCGTGAATCCTTGAGTGTTTACTGGATTTGCGGTATTCTTGTATATATAAGGCGCCAAGAAGTGACGGCAACAATGTAGTTGAATTGCGGACAGAGATACAGACGACAATTGAGCCAAGCGCGTGAATCGTTCGTTGGTTGTGAAATATAGCGTTGTTTAAGTTATAGCATGACTGTGGAAATTAAGTGTATTGCAAAGTTGTATTGAGAAAGAATAAACTAGTTTTATTTAAGAAAAGACTTGTGTCACTAAAGTTTCATCAGAAAGAAATTATACGGGAAATTAACAAACGAACAGAGACGTAACAATATATTCAACAGTTGCTGGTGTATGATAAACGTACGAATTTTTAAATGATCGTGTTCTAGTAGCAAATTTATGTTCTCCTACGGTGGTTGGGTACTATTAGTATTCAAAATATTAACAGAAGTGTGATTAATATGGTGGAACTAAAGAAGACCACACACGCTCCAAATTTCAGAAAGTATTTTAAATTCAAAATAATCTCGGCTATGTTGATGCTGTGAACATTAAGTGACCAACCCTACTGTTACGACAGCGGAAGTCACGTGACACTGCTGATGCGTTTCTTGAATGATCTGGGAAGTCCGAGTGTGTCCGAGATGCCCTCTTCGTTAGTATATAGGCCTGGCAGCAAAAGCCAGCGGGGTTAATGAACAGAGAGCAGTGCTTACTTTGAGTTCCGTGTAATTTGTGATTCTGTTAGTTTCGAGCTAGTGAGCCGAAAAGTGTGTGTCTTGCACTCGTTGAGAGCGATATTATCGAGATTGTGAATCACTGTGATTTATAACTTGTACTATAAAAATTGTTAAGTTTAAAGTAATGAGAAACGTACTGATTGTGGAACTTTCTGTGTACTAAAAGTTTGTATCGAGGAAGAATAAACTGGTTTAATGAAGAAATGACTTGTATCGCTGAAGATCCTCGGTAGAATTTCTAGTGGAAACAAACAAACAAGCAGATACGTAACACTACCTTCGAAGG